CTGAATGTCTCTTCCCAGAAGTGAGCTCCACTGAGTTCAGAGGGGCTTATTGCCAGTTAAGCATACAGTATATGAGATTGCAGCAGGAGTCCTTGTTTTGTGGTTTGAAAAAAGGCCTGCATATCATATTATAGCCTAAAATTAACATTGCGCTTGTCCCAACCACCCGCAACCCCTTCCTCAGTGTCAGTTTCTGGGCTACCTGCAAACCAGCTCATGAGGTTTTCAAAGGCTTCCAAAGTATGTTTGATGCTGTATGCTATCTTACAACTGAAAAGGTGGTTATCCACATCCTGCTTTCACTGATGTAAGGTGATTCATCAGGTATAGCTGGTGATCACCAATATTCTGAACCAAGGCAGAATAAGAACATGCACAAAAAGGCTACATATTCAAGATATAAAGGTGCTACATACTTTAATATAATTTTATATTAAAGTACTTTAGTACTTTAATACAACTTTTAGATTATATATTTTAAATGTATGTTAATTATTTTATCTTTTTTACTATAATTGAATTGCTGTAAGCTACCAAGAGACCTTTGGGTAGTGTGGGCGGCATATAAGTGAAATAAACAAACAAACAAACAAATAAATATGTTTTATATCTTAAAGACTCAATTGATTGCACTTCATTTCTATTTACACAGCTAGGATTTAAATTTAATTTTTAAAATTTTTTTAAAATTAAAACATTTTACCTCATGTGTCTCCTTAAGGCAACTTACTGATTTTAGCTTTAAATATTGTCCTTTAATTATGTAAGTATACAAATACCAAAAAGGATCAGACAAATGCCACATCAAGAGATTATGAACAAAAGCAACACGAAAACACATTCAAAGCAGAAGGCACAATAATCAATTTAAAAGTCCCATCAGGTAGCCAGTCACTGAGGGAAAGCTTGAGCAGAAGGCAATCAATTTAAAAGTCCCATCAGGTAGCCAGTCACTGAGGGAAAGCTTGCCTGAATAGAAAGGTTTTTTGGTTGTTGTGGGTTTTTCAGGATCTTTGGCCATGTCCTGAACTGAAAGCTTCCTGATCTTTCACCGGTCTCTGTGGCCGGCATCTTCAGAGGAACACGAGTAGGAACTCTGTCCATTCTCTGTTGCTGTTTATTTCTAAACCATCTTAACAGCATCCACCCAAATAAATAATTCACCATGGACAAAGAAATAGAGGGGCAACTCCGTTTCTTAAATGTCATGGTTATATGCAAAACTGACCTCCTATTGGGACACAAGGTCTACAGAAAACCCACCCACACAGACCAGTACCTACACAAAAACTCCAACCACCACCCATGACAAAAAAGAGGCATAATCAAATCACTGGTCATTGTTGTTGTTCAGTCATTTAGTCATGTCTGACTCTTCATGACCCCATGGACCAGAGCACGCCAGGGCCTCCTATCTTCCACTGCCTCCCGGAGTTGTGTCAATTTCATATTGGTTGCTTCGATGACACTGTCCAACCATCTCATCCTCTGTCATCCCTTTCTCCTATTGCCTTCACACTTTCCCAACATCAAGGTCTTTTCTAAGGAGTCTTCTCTTCTCATGAGAT